CCAGCCTGGGTGGCTATACCCGGGCAACCCTCACCTCAAGTCCCACGGGAGATAGGGGAGGAGAGGGGGGAGTTGTTAACATTGTCTCTTTTTCTTCCCAGATTATGTCACAATGATGGACTGGGTCTCTCATCCATGGGCCCCGATCATACAGGCTTTTGCTAGAGCTACCAATCAGACCAACTACTGGCTCTGTCAACATTTGATCTCAGATGACGAGTCATCTCCCTACATTGTTCCAGCTGATTTGTCAACAAGGAGGACACCTCATGGACCAGCTGAATGTGTAACCTGGTGTACTGAGAAGATCATGTAGTAAATGAATACGGTTGACTCCACTACTCATGGAAAACATCTTTTGAAATATGAAAGCTGCCTGCAGAGAGTGCTCAAACTTTAGAAGAAAATTTCTACGTGTTAAAAATGTAAATGGTACAAGACTGGATGGTTTGACTCTGCGAATGATACTTTTAAGACTGAGTTTGACATTAGCCTGGACATGGAGAACTTGCAGAATGTGGCCAGGTGGCCCATTGTACATTCATTGACTGACTACACCAAGTCTGAATTAGCCTGGTCTAGCAATTATAATACCTTGTTCAATTGTGCTGAGAAAGGAGATTTTGTATTACTTGTACTGAAATGTGTACGGTTCATATAATGTGCCATTTTGGGAAAAATATGCTGTTTTTACATAAATTAATCAGGACATGTTATACATACATAAGATTGGACAAATGCAGCCCTTTAATCTATTCAGTTGGCTTGGATTAAGCCACAACTGGGTAGGTTAGTTGGGATCTCTCCTCTAAGCAGGCGTGATCAATCTGCCGGGGACAGCCCTACTAGTAACCCTCATTAAATGCTGCCTCAAATGATGCACAGACATAACATCCACCAGAGTTATGCACCAAACCACAGACATGCAACTCAACGTCCAAAATGGGTGATGGGCATACCAGGACTTGGTATTGCTTTGCTTCTTTTTCTGGCACCCTGATGGGAGTTGCAGTGTGGATTGTTGGAGGAATGGTCTGCCTCTACGCCTCCCATCCAGGCTAAGTAAAGGTCTTGGGCCTAGAGCATTCTCTGATAGGCTGGGAATTGGGTCACCTTCTCTCTCCCAATTTCTTCTCCTTATCAGAGAAGCCTTCCCCCTGTTCTGGACACACACTAACTTTCTCTGTCTCTTGCACATGCATGGGCACCATACAGCACCTGGCCACCCCACTTCTATATTTGTCCCTGGTGGAGAGAGAATGGGGTCTCTTGTACTGTGACACAAGAGGGGGAATGTGCCAGATTTTAAGAGCTGGCCTCGAGGGGTGGACTGAAGGGAAAACAGGCTTTGCAAGGGTGAACATGAGCGCCCTCATGTGGCCTGCTATTTCACTACCATTTGCCGAGTTATTTTTATGTAAGCCCCTGGCTTGTACCCACTATTATCCACCACTACTGTAAAACCTCTGCCCTCCCACTGTGGGGCGCAGAGATTTGCTTTGGTCCTGCAGCTGCCCAGGACTTGCCTTGGTATGTAATTCTCTCTAATAAACTCCTTCACTGCCACACTGGAGTTGCCAGCTTCTTTCTTTGGCCCCTTGGTGCCCTCTATTTTTGGAGGCAAGTTTCACATTACTGGTCCATGGCTGGACACCTGTGAAACAGTTTACATATATTAAAAGAAAGGCAAGATGGAATAGGGCCTCAAACCCTAAAGCAGCCATTTTACTTTAGTCAAGTGCCTCAGTTTACTTGCTCTGACTCTGTGGTCACGAGACTGTGTGCATTTGTCAAAACAAATAGAATTGTACACTGAAAAGGAGGAGCCATGCTGTGTGTAAATTATACCTTTATTTTTTAAAATGAAAAAAGAATGAATCAGGGAAATAACAATTTTTACTGATTATCGTGTGACTGTTACTGAAAATAATTATATCATAAAGACGAGGAGGGTGTTAAAAAGTTTTCTGCTCCAGGTATTAAATACACTTGTACTTCACTGACAAGGGGAGTGGGAAGTCTTGGGTATCAGTTAGCCAACTGGAGGTATCAAAGAACATTCTTAGTCACAGAGGGCTTCCTGAAGGAGTTTTGGTGGCCTGGCTGATGCTTAGGCCAAAGGGAAGAAGGATTCCACTGGCAAATAACACCATCTTGGTGCCCATCTGAACTCTACCCCTCAGCTCACCTCTTTACTGTTTCCAGGGAGACAGGGAGCTTGGAATATCTACATTGCAGTCACTTGGCAACCAGGAACTGGTGGCTGTAGCCACCTGCCAAGTTCCTTCCATCATCCTGAGCCCTCATCTTGGGCATGGGCTCTGCACTGCCCAGGTAGTGGGGGCCCAGCAGGGGAGGCACTTCCACCTGCTTCCCTTCTCGCTACTTGCAAATCCCACCAGGCTGACTGAGACTCTTGCTGAGGGAGGTAAGTCCACAGAAAGTGCTGAGTGGACCAGGGGCAAAACACGGACAACCTTCAGCCCCAGGGGAGCCTCCCATTTGTTCCCATCCCTGGAGGACCCTGGGATCCAGGTGAAGGGAACACAGTCCTGACTCTCAGAGGACTCACAGCCTGGCACAGGAGGCAGAGTTCACCTCATTCTCTCAATACACAGGTGCTAATGCCATTCCAGGCTGGCTGCTGGGTCCCGGACTGGGCTAACCACCAGGCGCTCCTTGGAAACCCTATGGGGCAGTTCTACTCTGTCCTATAGGGTCACTATGAGTTGGAATTGACTCGACAGCAATGGGTTTGGTTTGTTTTTTTTTTTTTTTGGTTTATTGGTTGCCTTCTTTCCTTATCTCCCCACTCCCCTACGGCTATTTCCAGGAATCAGCTCCCAAACAAGCCACTTGCATTCAAATGCTGTTTCAGCATTGGCTTCTGAGGGAACCCAGAGGGATAATGGTACATAATAGGGAATCAAAGCTCTGTGAGGCGCCTGCCACAATCAATTGCATGCAAAGCAGTGGTGGACCAAGGGATGGGGGATGGGTGGCTGTCTGACCAGTGCAGGCAATGAGGCGGAGCATTGTCTGTGAAAAACTTAGAAGCAGTAATAAAACTGACCAAATGGTCTGCTTTTTATTATCCCCCTGAGCCAGTGATTCTAAACAATTTTTTGTGATTAAATTCTTTTTTTCACTGAGGCAGATAGCTTTCACTGACCCATGCCCACCCCTTAGCACCCGTGCGACGCAAAATGTACTCAGAGAGTAATTAATTGTAGGCAGAGGAGGTGAAGGAAGGCCTCACTAGGAGGCAGCACTGACCTCTAATCTCACCATTCTAGCTGCATTTCCCACCTCTAGGCCTTTGCATATGCTCTTCTCTTTTACTAGAACACCTTCTGTTCCTCAGTTTACTCCCAGAGCAGGCAATGAAGGGGAGCATTGTCAGCAAAACACTTAAAAGCTGTAATAAAACTGATCAAACGTAGGTCTGCTTTTTTTGTTGTTGTTGTTAGGCCAAAGGTTCAAGGAAGTCAGGCATTTCTTCCTCACTTCCAGAAGGTAGACACCTCCTCTGGGCTTGCACAGACCCCTGAGTACCCATCTGTTATGGCAGTTTTCACGCTGGTTACCTTTGTCATTTTTTACCACTAGACTGGGAGCTCCACAGGGACAGGGACTATACCTTGTTCATCTGGGCCTGGCTCACAGTAGGCACTCAGGAAAAGGGCTGCCACTGGGTGTCTACCTTTGTGCAGTATACAGCCTGAACCACTGCCCATGGCAACCCAGCCTCTGGAGGTTTGTTGAATTAATGAATAAATGAAGGACACTGAAGGCAGAAGGGACAGTGTAAAAGTAGGGAAGCCTGAAAGTGCAGGGCTTCTTGGTGGAAAGGGCAGATAGCTTTCTGCCACAGGCAGTACATATCAGAGAGGGGTTCTGTGGTCACCGTCTTCAGCATCACCCAGAGTGTGGTCAACATACCTGCACCCCACCTCAGAGCAGCTTGGCCAGAATCTTTGCAGATGGTGTTTGAGAACCTGGGCATCCCAGGGTAATCTCAGAAACATAAAATTTGGAGAGGCACAGGGCCAGCTGAGTGGTAGACTGTGAAGGGGTGAGACTGGCCCGATTTTGTTGGGCTCAGGATAAGAATTCATTCACTCATTCATTCAATAAGTTAGTATTGAGCCCAGAAGACCCTCAAGTACAGCTGTGAACAAGACAGACATGGTTCCTGCTCCCTTGTCACAGTCTAGTGGGAAGACAGTCATTAAATAAACAAGCAAATAAATGAATACCTAATAGTGTCAGGTTATGATGAACACTTTGTAGAAAAGAAAGCAAGGTAAGAGGTTAAAGAGTAGAGGAGGTTATTTTCGATGAGGTGGTCAGAGAAAATGTCTGCTGAGGCTGGTAGGTGAGGGAAGGAGTCATCTAAATGAAGGAGCAAATCATGAAGATGTTTGGGGAAAAAGCAGTCCAGATAGAGAGAGTAGTACCTACAAAGGCCTGGAGAACAAAACGTGGGAGAACATATGCAGTAGGAAGCTACTGCAATAGTCCAAGTGGGAGATGCTGGAGAATCAGACCAGGGTGGAGGCAGTGGACGTGGTGGGAAGTGGCCAGACTCAGAATATATTTTGAGGGTAGAGATGACTAGCTTTGCTATTAAATCAGATGTGGGTGTGAGAGAAGTAAGGAAGCCAAAGCTATGGCAGCCAGGAGCACAGGAGTGAGAGGATAGTTGAAGGAGATGAGGTTTTATTTCTCCCTTTTGCGGATGGAAAGTCTGTGTCTCTTTGTAAAGGATCCTCACCTTGCGGCCCCAACACACTGAGAGTAACCATCCTGGCCGCTGCGGGGGACATGGGATTCCAGCTTTGAAAGGCCGCGCCCCCAGCAGACCGCCCAGCCCGGAGGTCGCCGGAGGAACCTTAAGCGTCGCGCTCTAGTTTCCGGCCGGGCTCGCGCAAATGCGCCCGCTACGACTTACTTCCGGAGGCCCCGCCCCTCCCCCGGGCAGCTCCATTTTGGCCGCAGGTGGAGACTGGGCCAGAGCAAGCGGAGCAAGGGAGCGCAGAGTCATTCGTTCTCGGAGGGCCGCACCGGCTCACTACACACTCGCCCTTCTTTCCCCCGCCCGCAGAAGCTGCAGGCGACCATGGCAGGCTTGGAAGTGCTGTTCGCGTCGGCGGCGCCGGCCATCACCTGCGCTCAGGACGCGCTCATCTGCTTCCTGCACTGGGAAGTGGTGACGCACGACTACTACGGCCTGGGTGCTGGCGACCAGGTACGACGCGGAGCGTGGGTGGAGGGAGGTGCTGTCTTCTGCTCAAACTCAGAGGACCCGAGGCCGGGTCCAGAGCGCCTGACTTCCCTGCTCTCAAGTCGGAGGTCTGGAGCTCTTGTCACCATTGGTATTGCCTGCGAGTCGGCCAAGTGCTCAACTGCCCCAGCCCACCCCGGAGCATCTTACAGCACAGCTGGCACAACATGATTTGTAAACCCAAGGACAGAGGCTTTCTCAGCACAGCCTGGTAGTCTCCCCAGGCCAGGACTGTGTGGACCTGGTACCGGGGCTGGGTGTTGCTCCCTAAGCACACCTCACCTACCTGAACTTCACTCAGCCTATTATCACACAGCTTGGGGGAGCAGAAGCTGTACACACATACCCTCATACTGTACTCGAGCCTCCAACAGACACTCAGATCCAGGCACGGGTGTGGAGGTCGAAGGTTTTACCTAACTCAGCCCCAGCCCAGAACCTTGTCTTTACTCCTCAGCATGGGCCCAGGGGGCTCCCACAGTCTTCACTGAACAGCCCAGTGCAGACCTCACCGCTGAGTACACACATACACCGTGGGTCTGAGGGCCGGGGCCAGGTAACGGTCCCTCCCACATAGCTGCCCCTACAAGGCCAGCCCTTCCTGTTGCCCACTGTCCCTCTGCCCAGCCCAGCGCTAAGTCGTGCGTGTCCTCGGAGGGGATGGGTGTTTGGATTGCAAACGGCCTGCGGTGTATTTTTGCTCCTCTCCGTCTCACGGAACGGTATCTGCGTGTTCTCCTTAAGTGCCATCGAGGCTCAGGTTACACTTGTCCTCCACTCACTTCTGCTGAGTCTGCTTTCATTCAGCGTAGAAGTCATTTGGAGGAGCATCTTTCCTGTTAGTTTATTTAAGAGGGGGTTTAATTTTCTGGGTTGGGGCCAGCAGACTCTGCTAAGAGGGACAGTGTTTGCCAAGCTCAGAGGGTGTTTGTGTTGCCTCTTCAGCCACCTCCTGCTCCCCACCCTTGTGGGGGCGATAAGAGAGAGGAAGGTCCTGAGAGAGTGTACTTGATTATGTCATTTCTCGACAGTTAAATAGAAAGCTAAATTGTCTTCTTTTCTGTTTGTCTACTCTGGTGCAAATTGTGTACACAAAACTTGATGAGAAGAACAGTGCAGCCATTGCTTCAACAGAAGTCCAGTATTTGAGTTTGGATTTCTTTCTTGAAGTCAGCACTACTCCTCGTAAGAGCTTTATAGCTGTGTCAGGTGGCTTAAGTGGCAAGGGATAGAGACTGATAAGACTTAAGTTAGGGAATTTTATTTTCTGTTGTAGGACTCTAAGGATTATGATGAAAGAGGGAAAAAGCCCCTGTGTGAGTTGCTTTGGGTGCATTTGGCCCAGAGGCACTGGAGTGAACCCACTGCCATTGAAAACTGCTTCCAGCCCCAGGATTTTGCCGGAGGGGACACTACCTTTACTCTCTTTGGGCCAGCCTGGTGGATCTGGCCGGGAATAGCTCTTCTCCAGACTTAGCCCAGCCAGCCAGAAGCTCTGAATTCCAAAGCCTGATGCACCTGGCTTGCTGTAACTTTGGGCAATTTTTAGCCTTAGATTTTTCATCGCAGGGAGTTAAGCTACATGACCGTGCACTTTGGCTACTTTCCAACCTTTGCATTCTGGAGTGCCTGATATTTAATATCAGGGCCTAGAGGTCGGTTGAATGCCGTGTTTGGCTAGATATCACCAGAGCCATTCCTTCTGTTTTCTCCATGTCAGGGTGGCCCTTGGGCCTGGGGAACATGGGTTCCAGTGCAGTGAGAGGTGTCAGCCTCTCCCAGCCTCAAGATTATCTCTTCCTCTGGAAGCCGGAGATGATGGGGTGGTGAGCAGGCTTAAATACCTATATTCCAAGAGAGAATTTGCGTGGATTGAATGATGTACGTGGGAAAATGTAATATAAGTTTTAAAAAAATGCCCTCGACAGAACAAAGACAAGACATGTTATTAAATTTCTATTTCCAGAATAAACCTTAAATCCACAACACTAAACATGTTACAGGAAATTTGTTGGGGGGTGGGGTGGGGTGGAGTGGGGTGGGTGTTAACTTTCTCTTTCTCCTTTAGCTGAGTGGTTTGGTTACTTTCTGTTTTGTTTTTGTCACTCTCATTTCTCTACTTTAGGCCTGTAAGTTTCCTTGTCAACCAGCCAGGTTTTAAACCGTGCCAGTTGTGACTGCTGAATGCTTCCCCCAAAGGGTTCCCGAGCACCAGGGGTGCCCAAAGAGGAGAAACTCCCAATTCTCATTTCCTGGGCTCCCGTGGTCCTTGGTCTGTGTAATAAGGCCCTGCCTTGCTAGACTTTTGCTTTTCCCTTCATTCTTTATCTCTGGTGCCATTCCTCCCCACCCCAACCCCCGCATAGGCCCCCACTCATGAATACACATCTTCCCAGTCCCCCTACTCCATGTTTAGCTATATAAATGTCCATCCATGGAAACATATATATTCTATTCTATGTATGTTGTTTTACATAAATGATGCTAGGCTGTAAACCTCATTTTTTCTGAACTTGTCTTTAAATTACATATTTTACTCTCATCTATAATGGTTCATTCCTTCTCACCGTGATGTAGTGTTCCATTGTGAGCATATTTTGCATTTTACCTCTACTTGGCTGCTCCAGACAATCCTGTGCATGGGTTTCTTCCAGGAGTGGGGACTGAAGTGGGTAGTATCAGTCTGATGGCTATGACCTGGTATCTCATTATTACAACTTGTATTTTCTGACTGCTGGTAAAGTTGAACAAGACTTTATGCAATTACTAGCCACTTAATCTTTTGTTTGTTCTTATCTTTTGCCAGTTTTTCACATGGGTTCCCAATTTTTTATTGTTTATTTTCCAGGCATTCTCTTTATATGTTGCATATTACTTTTTCATTTGTAGCCGTGTCAAATGTCTCTTCCTAGCCTATGGCCTGCCTGTTGACTTTATCGTGTCTTTTGTTGAACAGAAGCTTTAAATTATGGGCTATCTCAAAGGCTTCATACTTTTTCTTTTGTAGATCGTGTTTAAAAAATCTCACCTGAAAATCATTATATTAGTTTTTACATTTGAGTTTTCCCTGTAGAACTTTTTCTTAAACTTTAGTGTGTAAAAGAAAAGTCCTAGGATTATTAAAAAAGAGAAGAAGGAAAGAAATTGCAACTCACAATAAAATGCATTTTACACCCACCAGCTTGGCAGAAATGAAAAAGTTGGACATTAGCAGTGTTGCTGATGATATGCAGCAACAGGAACTCTTTTATGTTGCTGGTGGGAGTGTAAATTAGCACTTTTCTGAAAAACAGTCTGACTTTATCTGATGTTATTAGGCCAGTTAGCTGGAATATCTCATGAAACCATGATCCTAAACCTCCAACCAAAGAACCAGATTTCTTGAGGTGTTTGGTTGTACATAAGCAGTCTCAGCAGCTACTCTTTTTTTTTTTTTTGTCATTGTTGTAAGTATATCTATCACACAGCTTTTGCCAGTTCAACTTTTTACAGCTGTACAGTTTATTGACAGCACTTACAATAATCGGCTGTGCAACCCTACCCTTAATCAATGTGATTTTTCTATCACCATTAACCTCCCTTTTCCTCCTCCTTCCTGCCCCGGTAACTACTAATAAACTTTAGTCTCTGTACAATTGCCTTGTCTTTTTATATAAATGAGGTCATTCAATATTTGTCCTTTTGTGATTGACTTATTTCACTCAGCATAATGTCTTCAAGCTCCATCCATATTGTAGCATGTATCAAGACTTCATTTCTCCTACTGGCTGAGTAAAGTAGTCCGTTGTATGTAGGTACCACATTTTGTTTATCCGTTCATCTGATGATGGGCTTTTAGGTTGCTTCCACCTTTTGGCTATTGTGAATAGTGCTGCAATGAATATTGGTGTACAAGTCTCTTTCTGAGTCTTTGCTTTCAAGTCTTTTGGGCATATACCTAGGAATGGAATTGCTGGGTCATACGGTAGTGTTATTTTTAATTTTTTGAGGAACTGCCACACTATTTTCCATAGCGGCTGTACCATTTTGCATTCCCATCAGCAGTGAATAAGGGTTCCAGTTTCCCCAAATCCTCACACACATTTGTTATTTTCTGTTTTGTTTTTATCTTAGCCATCCTAGTGGAAGTGAAATGGTATCTTATTGTGGTTTTGATTTGCTTCTCTCCGATAGCTAATGACGCTGAGCATATTTTCATGTGTCCGTGGCCATTTAGATGTCCTCTTTGGGGAAATGTCTGTTCCTTTGCCCATTTTGTGATTAGGTTATTTGTCTTTTTATTGTGAAGTTGTCAAAGTTTTATATATGTGTATTGGTTATTAGATTCTTACGGGTATGTGGTTTCCAAAGATATTCTCCCAGTTGGTAGCTTGTCTTTTCACTTTTTTGGTAGTCTTTTTGATGAACAAAAATTCTAATTTTTATGAGGTCCCATTTATTTATTTTTATTTTGTCTTTACTGTTTGTGCTTTTGTTATTATATTAGATAATCAATTGTTAAAATCTAGGTCTGACAGCATTGCCCCTGCATTTTCTTTTAAGAATTTTATGGTTTTAGTTTGCACACTTAGATCCTTAATCCATTTTGAATTTGTTTTTGTGTATGGTGGGCAGCATGGGTCCTATTTTCCCAGCGCCATTTATTGAAGAGATTCTTCTTTCCCCATCGAATGGACTTAGCATCCTTGTCAAAAATCAGTCGACCTTAGATGTGTGGGTTTATTTCTCTACTCTCAATTTTATTCCATTGGTCTATGTGTCTGTTGTTATACCAGTACCAGGCTGTTTTGATTACTGTAGCTGTACAGTATATTTTAAAATCAAGAAGTGTGAGTCTTCCAACATTGTTCTTCTCTTTCAACATTGCATTAGTTATTCGAGGCCTCTTGCCATTCCATGGAAAGTTGAGAATTGGTTTTTCTGTTTCTATAAAAAAGCTGTTGGAATTTTAATTGGGATTGCGTTGAATCTGTAAATCGCTTTGGGTAGTATTGACACCTTAACAATATTAAGTCTTCCAATCCATGAACATGGAACATATTTCCATTTATTTAACTCTTTTTTAATCTCTTTCAGCAGTATTTTATATTTTTCAATTGTATGAGTCCTTCACATCCCTGGTTAGATTTATCCCTAGGTATTTTATTCTCTTAGATGCTGTTGTAAATGGAATTGTTTCCATAATTCCCCTTCCAGATTTCTCATTGCTGGTGTATAGGAACCCACCTGATTTTTGCTTGTTGACCTTGTACCCTGCAATTTTGATAAATTCTTCTATTAGCTCTGTAAGCTTTCTTGTGGACGCTTTGGGATTTTTTAATATATATGATCTACATCATCCGTGAATAGAGTTAGTTTTATTTCTTTTCCGATCTAGATAACTTTTATTTCTTTTTCTTGTCTTATTGTTCTGGCTAGGACTTCTAATACAATACTGAATAGAAATGGAGAGAGTGGGCACCCTTGTCTTGTTCTCAACTTCAAGGGGAAAGCTCTCAGTCTTTCTCCATTACATATAATGTTAGCTGTTGACTTTTCATATATGCCCTGAATCATACTGAGGAATTTCCCTTCTATTCCAATCTTCTTTAGGGTTTTCATTAAGAAAGGGTGTTGAATTTTATCAAATGCTCTTTCTGTATCCGTAGAGATGGTCATGTGATTCTTTTCCTTTGTTCTATTGATGTGGTGTATTATGTTGACTGATTTTCTAATGTTGAACCATCCCTGCATTCTTGGAATAAAGCCCACTTGGTCATGGTGTATGACTTTTTAACACGCTGTTGGATTCTGTTTATTAGTATTTTGTTGAGGATTTTTACATCTATATTCATAAGAGATATTGGCCTGTGGGTTTTCTTTTCTTGTGGTGTCTTTGTCTCGTTTTGGTATCAGGGTTATATTTGGTTCATAGAATGAATTTAAGGAGCAGTCCTTCCTTCTTATCTTTTGGAAGAGTTTCAACAATATTTGTGTGACTTCTTCTCTAAATGTTTGGTAAAATTCTCCAGTGAAGCCATCTGGTCCAGGGCTTTCTGTTTGTTTGTTGACCTTGTACCCTGCAGTTTTGCTAAATTCCTCTATTAGCTCTAGAAGTTTTCTTGTGGACTCTTAGTGATTTTCTGTATATATAGGATCTCTAATTCAGTCTCTTCACTTGTTATGGGTCTGTTGAGTAGAATCTGTATTTTTAAAAAATACTTGGTTATCCTATCATAGATGGCCCAAAGTCCAAACTTAAAAAAGCAATGCCTTAGAATTTCACAGTATTCCTTGAGATCATTGACTTTATTCTTGGCACGGGGATGGAGGGGAGATGATTATAAAACAAAGGCTGCAGATTCTTGAAAGGTTATGCTGTTGTATCATAAAGGCAATTGGATATGGGGGAGAAAGCAGTATACCAGGAGTCCATAGACCTGGGTCCCAGACCTCTGACTTGCTGTGTGACCCTAGACAAGTCATGTCTTTTGACCTCCATGACCTCATCTGTGAAGTGAGGAGGTGGAATTAGATTATCTGTAAGGTTCTTTGTAGCTCTGTGTTCTGAGATCATGTTCTGCCTCCTCTCAACCCTGGGTGTCTTCTCAGCCAGGTCCCGATGATAAGAAATCAGAACTGCTGCCAGCTGGGTGGAACAACAATAAAGACCTGTATGTCCTCCGCTATGAGTCTAAGGATAAATCAAGAAAGCTGCTTGTGAAGGCTGTCACCGTGGAGAACAGCATGATCATCAATGTGCTGGTGAGTCTCTGGAACACATGGGGGTCTGCTGATGGGAGTGGACATTGGGATGGAACCCGTTTAACAGTGTAGATCAAGAGCCTTAAATGTTAGTACATCTTTACCAATGATCCCACTTCTGGAACTTTATCCTGATGTGAGAATTGCAAAATACAGAAAAGATTTGTGCACAAAGGTGTTCATCACCTAGTATTATAAAAGCAGAGGCTGTCCCTGGGTGGTACAAATTGTTAACGCCTTTGGGTGCTAACCAAAAGGTTGACGGTTAGAGTCCACCCAGAGGTGCCTTGGAAGAAAGGCCTGGTGATCTGCTTCTGAAAAATCAGCCATTGAAAACCCTGTGGAGTACAGTTCAAACCTGACACACACATGGTTTTGCCAGAATCGACTCAATGGCAACTGGTGGTGGCGGTGTACATCAACAGGAGAATTATTAAGTTAATTAAGATAAATCATTCAGTGACAACATAGAAAAAAGCCACTTACAGCCCCAGTAAGGAGCCCTGGTTGTGCAGTGGTTAAGTGCTCAGCTGCTAACTGAAAGGTCAGCGGTTTGAACCCATCAGCTGCTCTGCGAGAGAGACATGGCAATCTGCTTCTGTAAAGATTACAGCCTTGGAAACCTTATGGGACAGTTCTGCTCTGTCCTGTAGGGTTGCTATGAGTTGGAATTAACTCCATGCAGTGGTGCATTTTGTGGCCCTAGTGGCCCACTTCTAGTTCCTTAGATAAGCCAAACTCTTTGCTGCCTTAGAGCCTTTGCACCTCCTGTTTTCTCTGCCTGGAATACTCTTCTTCACCATCTGCCACCTCTCCACACAAACACACCCTCCACCATTCCTTTAGCCTGCCCAACTCCCTCTTATTCTTCATTTCCTCAAAGAGTTCAGTTCTGACTACCCATTCCTACTCACCCATTAGTTCAGAAATGCCCTTAGTCTTTCTTTTTTTTCCCTTGCATTTTTCCAGGAATGTGGTTCACAGCAAGTGGCAGACTTGACTTTGAACTTGGAGGATTATATCGATGGAGAACACCTGGGTGACTTCCACAGGTACTTCCCAATATTGTCTTTTCCCTGGGAAAAAGAAGAGGGAGCCAATGGCAGGATACAAAAAATGGAGTGGAGGTGTCCAGAGAAGTGAGGAAGGCAAGCAGGAGGATCTTTCACTCCTGGGCACAGTCACATCTCAACTCTCTTTCCTGTTTTTAATGTATTTGAAAACTTACATAGGAAATGCCACGTGGGATAAAATGGTGCAAACGAGTCCACAAGAGCTGCAGTGGATACAGAGCAGAGGTGGGTTCAGTCAGGGTGGGCTCCTGGAAGGAGGAATGCCTTCTCTGGTCCCCACCCCACCCCCAACTTTTTATTTTGAAAGTTTCAGCTCCACAGAAAAGATGAGTTGCAAGAATAGTGCAGTGAACACCCATATGCTCATCATCTAGATTCACCAATTTTTAACATTTTGCCACATTAGCTTAATCTTTCTGTATGCTTTTTTCTTTTTGAACCATTTGAGAGTTAGTTGCAGACTTTATGAACCTTTACCCCTAAATATTTTAGCATATATCACCTTGTTCTTACAAGGGCATCCTCGTACGTAACACTAATAGTTATCACACTCTGGGAATTTAGCATTGATACAGTAATACAATATACAGTCTACATTCAGATTTCTGCAGTCATCCCAGTGATGTCCTTTATAGCTGGTCTTCTGTTGTTGTTTTCTCCCCCTTCTATTCCATGTAAAGATCACATGTTGCATTTATTTTCATGTCTTTTTGGTTCCCTTTAATCTAGAACAGTTCCCTAGCCTTTCTTGTTTTCCATGGCATTGGTAATTTTTAAGACTCCGGGTCAGTTCTGCAGAATGTTGATTGTTTCCTTGTGACTGAACTTACCAGATGATTCCCTCATCATTTGATTCAATTTGCACATTTTTGATAAGAACACTGTATAGGTGAGGCTGTGTGTTTCTCGATGCTTTACATCAGGCACATGGTGTCTGTCCTTATCATTGATGTTGTTAAGTTTGATCACTTGGCTAAGACGATATCTGCCCGATTTTCTATAGTAAAGGCACCTGTTTTCCTTTGTGTTTAGTAAGTAATCTGTGGGGTTATTGTTGGAGACTATCTGAATATTCTGTTTCCTAACAGTTTTTCACCCAGTAGTTATAGCACTTATTGATGAGTCTTGCCTGAATAAGTTATTACTATGATGGTTATAAAATAGTGATTTTCTGTGTTTATCATCCTTTCTACATTTATTACTTAGCATTCTTCTCTAAAAAAGAGCTTTCTATTCTCCCCTTTCCTCTTTATTTTTAATTTTTTAAATACCAGCATAGACTTGTGGATTCTTTTTTATTCAGTGTTATAATCCATTCCTATCCTTTTGAATGCACAAGTGGTCACAGAGTTGACCAGTTGGAACCCCTCCAAGCCAACTTCTGTGTCCTTTTGACATGTCCCCATCATTCTTTGAGCATTTTAAAATTTTCTGGCAGAATAAGATGTTGTACTTTACTTGCCACAGCCCTGAAATCACATTGTACTTTCCTTGCCCTAGCTTTGGAATCAGTTATTTCTCTAAGGAGCCATGATTTCTGTTAGTAGGGAATAGTATTTAGAAACCAAAATCTGGGCTCTTGGTGGCACTAAGGTGTTGTTGCTTCTAGGCCCTTTCAGTGGATAGACCTAGGAAGCTTTTATTGTATCACAAATTCATACTGATACCTCTAATTCTCATGTAACACCACCAAATTCTTTTCTTACATCTCCCTTCTCTTGCAGTGAGAACCCTGATTCCCAGCAGCATCAATATGTTTACTCATTTGCTTGATCCTGAAATACATGCAGTTTCTGAATTGCAGCATTAGTACGTACCAAGAACAAACCTACTAAGTTCCAGATATGATTTCTTTCCAGTCCTTTTTGTCCTTTGACTGTGTCCCACTGAGGATGTATATAAGTTGGAGTGATGCATTCAAAAGGTGCATAGATTAAAGCTTGTTTTTCCACCAGTGTACTTAACTTATCTGTTTGATACATAGTTAGGTTCATTTATTTTTGCTTTATTCCATTCTGGGGGAGGTTTCCCCCATCTTCACTAACCTCCTCAGCTTTTAGAGGAAGCCTGGCATCACCCTAAATTCATAGTCGCCAACCTTAACCAAACCTCAGAACTGCCCAGAAACTTGTTGCATTTCTCTAATCAGCTTGCTTTACAAAGTAACAGCCGTTCTGAACCCACTCCACTGTGCGCAGACCTGTCCAGACCACCCATCTCCCTCATTCTGCCCACCCTTCTTCATCTCCTCCCTCTTCCATGCAGCCTCTATGTGAGGAGATCCTCATCAAGACTCTTCCGTCACCCCTTACACATTCTCACTGGCTGGTGTGCTTCTGTTAACATTAGTCCTGTGGTGCGTTTTCTCATGGGTATCTGTAGCCCACACTTGTTGTCTGAGCTCCAGACCCCTAGTGTTAACTCCTGCTTGTCATCACCAGTTGGAGGTCTCACAGCCACATCAAACTCAATACATCCAAAATCCAACCCTGTTCTTTCTCCCTAAACCCACCCCTTTTGTGTTCCCGTCTCAGCAAAAGGTACCACTGTTCCCCAGCTGTTCAGGCCAGAAACCTGGACCATCACTGATATGCTGTGCTCACCCTCACCCCTATATTCAGTTCATCGTCAAGTCCTCTTGCTCCTTCCTCCTAAGTATTTCTCAAGTTTGACGTTCCCCTTCACCTCCGCCCCAGTACAAGCCACTGTCCTCTCACCTGGAGCAACTAAACCAGCACCCTCAGTGATCTCCCTGCTTCCACTCCTGCTTGCCACCCGCAGTTGATTTCCCACACAGCAGTCAGACCAGTCTTTTTAAAACATAGATAAACTGTGGTTAAAACCTTTGCTTGTTTAAAACCCTTCAGTGAGTGTTCGTTGCTGGTAGGGTAAAGAACAGAATTCTTAATGAGGCTTAAAGGCCTCGTTTCCACCCCTCTAACCTTGTCCTAGGGAGCCCTGGTGGCACAGTGGTTAATGGTCAGTGGTTCGAACCCACCAGCCCCTCCACAGGAGAAAGATGTAGCAGTCTGCTTCCGGAAAGATTTACAGTCTTGGAAACCCTATGTGGCAGTTCTGCTCTGTTCTGTAGGGTCACTGTGAATTGGAATTGACTTGATGGAAGCGGGTTTTTGGTTTGGAACCTCGTCCTATACCACTTCCCTCTTATTCCCTGTGTCTCAGCCACGGTGTCATTCTCTTCCCCTCATCAGGCTAGGTTCCTTCCCTCTTCAGAGTTCTTCCTCTGCCTAGAGCACTCTCTCCTCCTCACACAACCAACTCCTGTTCACCGTGCAGTTCCCAATTTAAATGTCAGTTCCTCAGAGAAGCCTCCCATGACCCCCATGTTTGATGTCTCAGGTCATCCTTTAACAGAGACTGCAGGAACCTCCAAGACTGTGGCCCCCAGACACCCTGCTAACTCAGTACTGAAACCATTTCCGAAGTTCACCTTTCAGTCGAAGATTAGACAGGCGTATAAAACAAATAATAACACACGTGAAGAATGTGCTGCTTAGTTCATTTGAGTATGTGAGACCAAATGGGCAACACCTGCCCAAAAACAAAGACGAGAAGGCAGTAAGGGACAGGAAAACTGGACGAATGGACACAAGGAACTCGGGGTATAAAGTGAAAGGGGGAGAGTGCTGACACATTGCAGGGATTGCAACCCATGTCACAAAACAATTTGTATATAAATTTTTGAATGAGAAACTAATTTGGCGCTGTAAACTTTCACCTAAAACACAATACAATTTTTTTTTAAAAAGCATCCTTTAAACTAATAAACCCGTTGCCATCGATTCTGACTCATAGTGACCCTCTAAGACAGCGTCGAACTGCCCCATAGGGTTTTCAAGGCTGTAACTTTATGGAAGCAGACTGCCACATCTTTCTCCTGTGGAGCAGCTGGTGGATTTGAACTGCCCACCTTTCTGTTAGCAGCCGAGCGCTCAACCACTGCACCACCAGGGCTCCTTTCTTAAGCTAATGAGTATTTTATGCTTAGCTTCTTAAAGTTGGTTTCCCTTGAGGGCAGGGCCTAGCTAGGTCTCTTGCATAGTCTCAACAAGAGAATCAAGAGTGGAATGAAACCAGGCTTGGCCTTCGCAGAGAGCTGTTCTTCTGGTGTCGCACACACCACAACCTTCCCCTTACGGGGGTAAGGGAAGGACATTTGGGGTGTGGTCTCTCTCTTGACCTTTTTTAATGGAATTTCATTGGGAGGGAAATTGACAAAACCTGTGGAAGAACCCAGGCCCTCTAGATTGTTCATGCCCATTAGGGCATTTAACCCCCTCCAGTATTGAGAGAGAAATGATGATAGTGTCCCCCATTGGTTTTTTAACTACATTTTTTCTTTTTTAATTGTACTTTAGATGAAGGGTTACAGAACAAATAGTTTCTCATTAAACAGTTAGTACACATATTGTTTTGTGACAATGGTTAACAACCGCACGACATGTCAACACTGTCCCTTCTCAACCTTAGGTTCCCTGTTACCAGCTTTCCTGTCCCCTCCTGTCTTCTAGTCCTTGTCCCTGGACTGTTGTGCCCGTTAGTCTCGCTTTGTTTTATGGGGCTGTGTTATCTTTGGCTGAATGATGAACCTCAGGAGTGACTTCATTACTGAGCTAAAAGGGTGTCCGGGGACCGTGCTCTCGCGGTTTCCCCAGTCTCTGTCAAGCCAGTAAATCTGGTCTTTTTTTGTGAGTTAGAATTTTGTTCTACATTTTTTTCCAGCTCTGTCCAGGACCCTCTGTTGTGATCTCGGTCAGAGCAGTCAGTGGTGGTAGCCAGGCACCATCTAGTTGTCCTGAATTCAGTCTGATGGAGGCCGTGGTATTTAACTACATTTGTTGTTGAGTTGTTTTGTGTGCGGGTGGATGGATGTCTTTTGTTTTTTGATTATTGTGAAATGAGGGGTACAGGAATACTATCTCAGGGTGTTGTTCTGAGAATGAAATGCGATGTCAGCA